GGCCTTGGTATGCAGGTAACAAGAAGACTTATAAGAAGGCCAAAAGGGGTCCTACTTGGGGTTTTGACACTTATATGTCTAGAAAAAAGCTACTTACTACGTCCCAATATGGCCTGAGCCAGTGAGCTCCCCAAGCCTTAAACCCCAGTGACCTCAAATACCCACTTTCCTTCCGGATTTTAGGCTTTTTCTCGAGACTCGAGTGCCCCAAGATCGTGGCTCACATGCCTTATACTTTGGGCCCCGCCCAGATTACTATCAATATTGTTACTATTACTACTGCTGATAATCTAAATCCTCCATTACCCACAATAAGGAATATACCATACTTCCCATAGTTTAGGATCCTTAAGGTAGTGCAAGATTTATATCATTTAACCCTATTACTACTACTAATTACTACTTATTACTGTTGTAAGTTATATTTTCTACGTGTCTGCACGGGCTTCGGATTTGCTGTTCAGCTCCTGGTCCGAATGTCGCACAACGACAGCCGGCATCTAGCTGCCCAAACCCCCGGGAGGATCTAGAAAGTAGATCCCTTAATTTGGGACCCTAACTACTAAAGGGTACTTTATAGGAAGCCCCTTAAGGGATCTACTTTCTAGATCCTCCTGGGGGTCTGGGTGCAGTCTCCCAGAGAACCCAATGGCCCCTTAATTGAGGAAGATACCTTAAATCATAACGTTGAGGCCCCTATAATCTAAGGAATATACCTTAGATCATAATAGGAACCCTAATGAGATTTAANNAATTAAGGAATATTCGAGTCTCTGGGCAGCTGCAGTCTCAGAGGCAGTCATGCGCTGAATCCTAAGTCCAAGCCTCGTGGTGCCCGCAAAAAGGCTAATTCTCCAACACCAAGGCGCTCTTCTGTTGAGCCCTTGCAAATTAGCAGGATTTCCTGAGACCAAACGCTGAAACCCTCGAACAAGCACCCTACAACCCCTAAATAGCTAGCTCCACTCCCTTAGTTACGTAGCACTCAAAACTCTTCAGATCCTCTGCGAAACCTACCAACACAAGACAAACTGTTGAAAAGCCCAGTGATACCACCGGGAAACTGTATAAGACTGCTTACAAGAATATGAGACTTCTGTGTGGCTATTCGGAAGCCTCGTAAGACCTAGAAAAAAAGTATTGAACCCCCCCCCCCCC